TTTTCAAGAGGGGAAAACCTTGAATTTTGAAGAATTTAAAGTAATTAAAAGACACCTCAGAAGTCGGGAAAACTCATTTCCCGCCTTCTAGGAATCAAAATTTTCCTGGGGGAGAACCCCCGGACCCCCCTCCTTTTGGGATTCATTGATTCATGGAAAATTCGTATGCAACTACTCATTTTTTTTTTAAATTTTTATGTATGTATACACTTAAGGCATATTTACTGAAAAACAATGGTAAAAAATTACCTGACCGTTTTCAAGAGGTAAAAACCTTGAATTTTGAAGAACTTAAAAGTAATTAAAAGACACCCCAGAAGTCAGGAAAGCTCATTTCCTGTCTCTTATACACATCTAGATGTGTATAAGAGACAGTAAGTAAGTATGCGCTTGTTTGTTTCTTTAAGTTTCACGCATTTAGCGATCATCAGACAAGTAATGGATAATGTTATGTGCTTTGCTTTTATATGCTGGGGTAGGTATTTTGTTTACGTTTCAGGCCAATGCAATCTATGCATTGAAGGAAAGCTGGCCATTCTATGCTTAAACCGACCTAACATTATCAACTTGTTGTTAAGTGCCGTCATAGCAACACACGTGATGAAGGTTTAATATTGATGTTTCACTATGTTTCGAAGGGAAATTTGATATCAGTGCAAACAAGTTGGAAGCCTACCGCTGGCCGGATATAATTGACAATTTGATTAATATGCTTGATATCTGCAAGAACTCCAAATACACTAAACGTTTTGCACTATTTGTGCTAACAAATACTGAAATAGATAAAAAATTAGCAATATTATGAAAATATGAATATTCACAATTAATTGTAGATAACATGGGTGGCACTAGCGGGGACCGGGTGGGGTAAGAGGCAAGGTCCACCGTGTCGCGGAAAGCACTCCTTTCCGCCCATTTAGGGATAAAAAAAAAAAAAAAAAAAAGAAAAAAAAAAGGGGGAAAAAAAAAACCCTACGGTTTATTTCTATTTCAATCTATGTCCAACTTTCAAACCTATAATGAATTAGCTTAATTCTACCTTACTACTACTCAGCCTGATATTCACTTGCCTATTTTAAAGCTCGTTATGGGTTTATCTTTTCTACCGGTAACTTTTGGTTAACTCGTTAATAAAACGGCCTAAGGCCTGGGCCGAGTCTGAGATTTCATAATATATGATGTGAACGTGTTGACAACTTACTGGATGTTCGGAAGATGTGGTGAAATCGCCTCCGGGTGACGTTTTGGTCCAGTTGGCTCAATTGGAAATTGGCGAGGCGGGAGCTTCGGTGCTTCACGGAGTTCAATTGATGGTATTTGTCGGAAAAGTTTCAATGGTGGAAGGATTTGTTTGAAACGATAACTGCAGTTGTACGTAGTTGCGTTTATGTTATCGAAATTAACTTCCATGTCAAAAAAGCATCTTGTGCAAAATATTAATACGAACGAGTGTGTGTATACTGTGTTGTGGTGGTAGTGATCATCAACTCAAAAACGCGAATGCTATGGCAACCCAAATCAAACGCGCAATATTTTGCGCACTTGTAGGCAAGGCGTTACGTAACATGGAGCGCGTGTAGTACGCATGTTTAAAAAACACTATCACATCATCCGCTTGGACTGTGATGTTTATATTTTAATTAATTTAACGCTTATTTTATACTCAAATTTGCTATGGTTGATGATTCTTTAGGGATATTGGGCAAACAGAGATGATATGTGTGTAAGTTTACATCTCAACGCTGAAAATCTTTACTAAATTGTTTTAGTCTGCAACACTGGATAATGTTACACTATTATACATAAGGATTACGGGAATCATTACGGTAAACTAGCAATATCAAGCTATCATATTTGACTGATGATGCAAATTTTAACTACAAGCGTATGTTAATATTTTCTAAATTCGCCTTGTCTCTCTGGCACAGTATGTTCAAAACACTGGCGCGGCTAAAATCTTGCTGGTAAAAGGCGTATTGTTTTTAATTGATTACTTCCAAACGTTTATCAGCTACATCCACAACACTTCAGTAAGTTTTTAAAAACAACATGCCTGCATGAAAGTCACATTAAACAGTGTATTTATGAAAAAATATCTGGAAAACATACAAATCTAATTTTGTAAAAAAAAAAAAAGAGAGAACCCACGCACAGTATAATAATCAGTGCAGTTGGAAGAATAGTTGACAAGCCTACAGAGTGAATAGATATTTTCTTGACAACCAAATGAAGAACGATGTTTTCCATTATATTAGATTTTGGAACTTAAAGAACATAAAATGTTCCTCTTCATAATTCAAGAAGGAACAAATCTAGAACGTTTCAGACCATTGTAAACAAACTTACAAACTGGGTCTTCAAAACGATTAAATATTTTACTGGTCAATAACATCAGACACATAATTATATTCGTGTACCAATTTTAAAATTTTTGTTGCAGAGGAAGTCCAAAAATCAACATTATTTTCGAAATACAGTATCTTATTGTAAATTAATAACGTACAGTACTAGTGTTTGATCCGTTCAGATGCACAAATTTTAGGTTGAATTTATAAGAGTTTTGTCGATTTTTCATAATTTAAACAATTGCATATTAGAATAACAATTTAAGATCTTGGTAGCCTATTTTTAGTTATCGATCTGGGTGCATCTCTGTAAACAACCAATCAACCATGAACATGTCGAGATTAAATTCCAACCACTGCCACTCCCTTTCCCACCACCTTCGCATGTTTCTTGAATAAGAAGTTGCAGAGTACTGGTGTTCAAAGTCTTCAGCATAAAGTTATAATGATAGGCCTACACAATATTTTGACGTTCGTGTAATAATTCTGCGAAATGAAAATCACTCCCTCGACTTAACTCGAATAGCGAAGATGTTAAGTTTGGTTTCTTTGAAAACTGCAAGTTGGAGTGCATTTTTAAAGTTGAGAAATCATGCTCTACCATAGTAAAAATCGTGAAAATTCCTCTCACCAATTTGAAAATTGGCAAAAGTACTGTATATGAAAAAATGATGCCTACCTAGTATGGTGTGGATGCAATAATTAAAGAATAAAACAGAATAATTTTCTTATGGACAGACAAGTAACAGTATTTGTTTTATTTACAGACAAGATTAAACCATCAGATGGCTCGACTAAAGTACTTGAAAAACTTGACAAGCCAGAACAATTATTGTACTACATGTTATCAAATCCTCCCATTCATTGGGTTTTTTCAACAAAGATCTTACATAACCAAGTCCTGTATTAAATTCAGTCTGTAATAAACTTTTAAATGTTTATATCAATTCTGTATATCTTACATTTAAATGTCTGCATTAATTCTGTACAAAAACATACATTTAAATGTTATTTTGAACAAAATACATTAAGATTACATAAACTTTCAAATGTTTATATAAATTCTGTATATCTTATCTAAAGACCAAAAACAAATGTATGTAGAGCAGTGAAAATGTTCATTCAGATAATTTCATAGTAATAGTACAGAAATATATCAAAATAATTAACATTAAATAATGAATAAAGTAAAATTTATCAAATAGGCATTAAACCTCCTGAAAGTGTACATCATTTAAATTTGAACATTTTCAAATCAAAAATCGAAGTGTTTAAATACAAAACAAAATCACACTATTTAAAAACAAATACACTGTACATTAACTAACCTAATAAGATCAATGTCTTTTCCCAAAAACTGTTTATATGATAACTACCCATAAAATACTAAACAGTCTGGTGTATATTCGTCAAGCTACAGTAAACATATGTTTCATTGTATTTTTAGACACATTGCTTCTTCGTAAGTATTATCGCACAGACGTTTTTACTTAAATGGAGGATGGCAGAAAATGTAACTTAAGGTAACTACAGTATATCATAAAAATCACAGCATGATTCGCCACAATTTTAATTTATGTTTAAGGTCATAATAAAGATGGGGACATGGTTGAATAAATGCTGTCCACGTTATATCACTACCTATCTATTTATAATGGATAAAATCAGCAGTCATCTTTTAAATACAATGCCAAAACTAACAACATGACAATTCCTTTACCCACGCCACTTCAAATATTGGTTAATAAAAAGAAAATGTTATGTTATGTCAGTAAGTTTGCAAACAATCTTGAAAATAACTCCCCAAGGAACACACATTACCCTTACTGCCTTAAGAGTACGTAGTAATCTATTGTTTTCTTTTCTCATTATCCAAATATCTAAATTGATGTGGCTGAATTATTAAAAAATACAAAAATTGTAATAAAATCCATTGTTACAGACTATAAACTATGTACATTGTTACCCACACTGTTATAGGATAGTTCTATTCCTCAATCGGTCACTGAATTTGGGTGTTACTGGTTGGGTGAGCGGTTTTTCACTATGCTCAATCTCAACTGGTTTGTATTGGCGTATTGGATTGGATTTGGGAACCATAGCGGCACGCATCTGCGCGACCTCTTTCTGTTCCCGTAATGCATTCTGTCTCTCCAGTTCTGCTTTCTCTAACGTGATTTCTATTTCTCGCATCCTTTTCTGCGTTTCGTATTGCTGGCGTTGTTCAGCTCGCTTCTCGCTGTTCAGCATAAAATCGCTAATCTCTGAGGGTTAAAGTACAATTCAATTGATAGGAAAAAGAATCAATTCAGTTGACAATATCTGAAGATAATTTAACTGTATTTAAATTGCTTAGTTTGTATAATTAAGTACTGTAGTATTCTTTGCTAACAGATGCATAAATAACAATGTATATTTTTTTTGCAAGTACATTTGGAAGCGTTCTGACTATTCAGGACGACAACACGCCAGATAGGGCATAACACCACTCCTACAATGTATACGCAGATTGAAAAAAAATATTGTTTTTCACTGATTTACAGACATTGTACTACAAATGTCCTTAAATTGACTACCAGCCAATTTGGGTTTATCAATTTTAAATAATACAGGAAAGGTATTATTAAACTGATAATTGATGGGGGAAAATTCAAATTATTATTCAAATTACAGTAATTGCAAATTAATAACTTACTTATTAACTATACAAATATGTCAATTCAAATATAGAATCGAACTTTTCATTTTTTTTTAGCACATGGCAGACAGTGCATCTTCAAATTTTGCTGGTAATCAGTAATGATTTTTATTTTTTTATCTACAGTCTGTACAACAGTTGACAGATTTGGTATTTTAAATAAGCAAACTTTACCTGTTAACGGCTTATCAGATTTCTGTGGAATGAATGGTTTTCTGTAAAGAACGTTTGCTTCCTTTGCGTGGAATGTCTGATTTCTTTCCTTTTCCAATTCCTCTGCCATCTAATAAACAAAAAAAGATGTCACAAGTTACAATGACGCTGACAGACAAGCAAGAATTAAATAGTTATAATTCTCAGTAATACTTTTACTTCCAGAAATACAGATGTATTAAGACAAACTCGATCCAAGCAGTGGTATAAAGTTTGGCCAAACAGGAATATGTTCCTGTGTCTCCAACGAGAAAGTGGTCCAAGGGCGAAGCTTTGAAAACTGTAACAGATTTAAAAGGCTTGTTTATTCAATTTTAGATTTCACTAAACAGAATGCATTTTCTCCAAACATCCTGCTCGACCCACAATGACAACTTTCTATAACCTCTTCACAGAGTATTTGCTTCATCTACTTTTGATGCTCCTGAGCATGAAAAGTACTTCAATAACAGCATACTACAATATTAATAAGTAAGACTACCTTCTACTAAAAATTCCTGCACTTTTTTTAACTGTTTAGCTAGGGACAGTAGGATGTGTAAAAACGAAGTTGGTTGTAAGGTTGCATTTCAACATGATGTATAGTATACTATAATATGGAGTGGTGAAGTACATATTACTGGGTACTGTATACACAAAGTTTCTTATCACTTGTATTAAATACTGATGGGAATCAAACCTACAACCACTCACTATCAAGATAACTGCCATACTTCTGGACTATGAAAGCCTGTGGTATGTCGGAACAATATTTTATAAAATTAAAGAATAATCCACTAGAATTCTTGTCATAATACCCTAACCTTCTTGCTCCAGTCCTGAGCTCTTTTGGCACCGACATCTTCCTGATGGAAACCAAACGGTTTAATTTCTGTTCCTTTTTTGGTTTTCTTTTCAGGCACACCTGACACTGTGTCCAGAATTGGCATTAACTGGGCCTTAAATTCTCGCAGCTGTAAAAGAAGATTTTACAAAATTATTCATAACTGAAATGGTCTGGACCCCCTCTATTTAGAGGTATGATATTTATGGTTGGATATTACACTCTTAAACTTAAATTTGAATTTTCTTTTCTCCTTTTTTTTTTTTTTTTAATTTACAAAAATTTACAGCCCAAAGCAAATGAAAACAAACCTTCTGTTCTTCTTTGAACAACTGCTGTATTTTTTCTTCTTTTTTCAAAACAGTTGCTTCATCCCTTGACGCAAATGAGAACGGCTGAGGTTCGGTGGTCTTGTGTTGCAAGTTTGGTGCGAATGGAACACCGACATGCGGGGCTGGGCGTGCTTTTACCACAGGCTTTTCTTCTTCCTGTAATAATTTAAAAATATTATTACATAAATAATTTACAAAGTAATATGTTTGATGGCCTCCGTGTGTAGTTAATTTAATCCTATTATATTTTGCTTGTTATTTCTTTCTAAAATTCCAGTGGCCTACTGCCTTAAACCACTACATATCTTACCGGTTTTGTGTCATTTTCGTGGAGCCTTTTCCTGTTCTTCAGTGCAAAGGCCGGTGACTTCGGACAAGTTAATACATTTGGTTTTGCTTCTGGTAATCCCTATTAAAGAAAGAATGAAAAATATATTTATTTATGATAAAAATGGTATATTTTAGAAGTAATTAATTTCAATTAAACTGAAATGCAATATTGTGTGTAAAAATGACCAAAGAGAAATAACTGTACAATACTGTGTGTAAGAATCACCAATGACGGGTGTTATATATACAGAAATATAGAACGAGTTAAAAAAAATATGGCAACCACTGAAACTAAGGCAGATTACTAAATACACATTTTAAAGTCAGGCTCCGGAGAAAAAAAAAGAAAGATTAGTTCTACAACTTATCAACATTTTTTTTCCCTTCAGAGTCTGACTTTAAAACTGCTGGTCAACATGTCGATGATACTAGCCACCTGCACCATAAGGACCAACTGTTAAGACCACTGCTATAAAACAGTGTCACGTTTAGTAAATACATGAGTGTTGAAAATTAAACAATTGTCTAGACAACCAGGTTGCACTCATTGACAAAATTATGTGTTGAATGGTGTCATGCACAATGGTATGTGAGCTCACAGCAAAGAAATAAAAAAAAACATAACAATAACATATAGTTATCTAGTGGTTTCAGCAGCTAAGCCTAGTTCCTCCTTGATGTTTACATCAAATATTAATTATTGTTATGAACTTGAAGCCGACCTTGCTGTGAACTTGTTTCTACATCACTTTTTAGTTTGAGCCTTTTGTAACATAACATTCTACAAAACACTTAAATGCACCAGCAAACAAGCCAACCCTAATTATTTTTCAGGAAATATAAGAAAAAGTACATTCTGATATACAAATGAGGATATTGGCCTCCAGGCGCCGTCTAATAAGTGTGTAATATTGCACACTGTCAAGATTGTTACTTAAAGGCTATCCCCAAGTAGACCTTAAAATTTTGTTGTTGTGATGCAGAGCACAGTGGCACTTGGAAATCGAGGCCAGTCAGCTGGAAATTATTTGTTTTTTAACAGTCTCAGTCTAATTCTGGAATTCATTGTGTTGGTGATGATCAAAAGATATCCTATACATGTATGCTTCTTCTTCTTCCATTAATGGACAAACTTCAATGCTGAAGGCTCCTGTCCATCTAGCCCAATACGATTTGCAACCGGTGCACAAAAGTTAGGATGTGGGCTTTTCTTTGTAATTGATTTATTTAAAATGAAGCTTTTGCATTATATTTTCCGTAACCAGGATGGGACCCTTTCAGGTACTATCCCTCTGGGTCGGAGGGAACCTGAAACTCATCAATGGTAAGGGTATGCCCTTCCCAATATTTACAGCACTTTGCTTATTGTAGAGTGTGTCTATTGATTCCCCTTTCTACTAGCCTCAATATATATAAAATAAGTAGACAAAAAAAAAATCATATTCTCCAGAAGGTGACTAATTGGAAGCATAGATTTTATTTAACGAAAAAAAAAAAATTCAGGTGTGTAATGAACATGTTACTGTAATACATTTATACACCTGCCAACTCTCACGCATGCTTGAGTCCTGTCTCTTATACACATCTTTTGACAAAAGCATGTGACATGGTCACCAAAAATGGTAATGATGACATCACATAATGACCATATATAGGCACATCATGACCATATATAGACACATCATGACCATATATAGGCACATCATGACCATATATAGACACATCATGACCATATATGTCATTCATGCTTGTTTTGGCATGGCAAGCCCCATATAGGCACATCAATGACTATATATGGGTATACATCATTTTTTTCTCAAATACTATTTGATCTAGTCTGGATAGGGCTTTATGGTAAAATCAGGAAAATACCCTAGAAATTAATTTAAAAATTAAATTGCTCATTTAAAACTAAAGGTCAATTAATTATCCCCTTCCAAGTTAACAGTATATTAGGCCAGGTTAAAAAAAAAAGTAGTTTCTCATCCTAATATTTTGGAAAAAGGAGAATGGGGGAACTTTTTTTTTACTCCGGTATATTCAAGATGGTCGATGGGAAACAGCTAACTACTTTCTCACTTTTACCAAGTAGACACATTGGAAGCATAAAAGAATGTACTGTATTGCCAACCACGAACAATTGAGAGAAGAATTTTACTGATGTGAGTTAGTCAGATTTTTGCACATTTCGTAAATAAAAAAAAAAATTTGGTGAATAAGAGAAAATGGATGAGAAAGAGGGACAAGAAACTATTAATTTTTTTTACTTGGCCTAATATAAAGGTACATGATCCAATAGATTCTAAAGCCTGCTGCACTATCTGCTTATGACAAATTTCATGGTATTAAAAAAATTGTTGGCATACTAAAAATGACTGTTAAAAATAACCTTTGATATATAAATTATCATCTATTACTTTATAACAGTTATTATACTTATAAAATTAAATTAAATGCTTTAATGCAAATAATACAGGTAGCAAATTTAATGATTTCCCCCACTTACGTCTTCATGTCTTCAACTTCTTTATCTTCCTTATCCTTTGCACTCACTACAGTGGATGGCCGTTTCCTCTTTCTTGTTTCAAGGGCTGGTGTCTTTGGACATGTTAACTTGGGTGCAACAACAGGTTGTGCGGGTCCTAGAGAGAATAAAACAGCAAAATTGAAATTTAACATTTTTTAGATTTAAAGATGCAATGTAAATACCTTTTTAGAAGAGTCACCTAACAGTCCTAACTGTCTAGATCATTGTATCATTCAATGCTTGAGATCTACATTCTACAATCCTGAGATCTACATTCTCTAACTGGTTTACAAATTTACCTTTGTTTTGCTGTCGACGTTTCCAACTCTGGAATCTTTCAGGAGTCCGTACTTGAAATGCAGCCACCTGCTCCGCCATGGATTGGAAACGTTTTGGAATGCTAGGCTGCTCAAAGTGATCTGATTTATGTTGGTTTTGGAAGTTAAATGGCTGTGGTTTTGTAGGCCCCTTTGATTGCTTCTGCTGCAGGAAGATCAGATGCAATATAGTATATTTTTTTTATTTACATAAATTTTAGTGCCTCTTTTAGTTTCATGCTAGAAGATGTTAAGATCTGACCACATTATTTTTATGTGAAAAACATTTGTCCAATAAGAGCACATGAAAATGTCATCACACCCATATATGGGCAAACCTCATGTATTTTTGTGACCTAAAACATGATCTCCACACACTGTTTCACTCCTGGCAAGTCTTAATTTTAACCAACTCTCTCATGATTAAAAAAGAAAAAGGAAATTTTGTGTAGAAATCTGGAGTCACTTACTAGGAAAAAGGTAAGTTACTTACTGGCTGTGTGTGTTTTCTCAGAGAAGAGAAGAAATCTTCCTCAGACACAGAACGTGGAACAGCTGGACCTGTCTTAGTGATTCTAGCATCAGTGGAAAATTCAAATTCCTTGGGCCGTGTGATTGGTTGCTGGGATCGGACAGGTACGTAATTAGTTGAAACCTGTAACTTTTTGTATGATTCCTCTGCCATTTTTCTTGTTTTGGCCATCTGCTTCTGGAACTCATTAATCTTCTCTAATTCCAATTCCTCCGTCTTTTTTGCCTTCTCGCCAGTGAAATGCATCTTTCGTTTCATAAAAGTCGGTGTCTGGGGCATAACTAATTTGTGTATGCCGGAAGGTTTTGATTTTGTTGTGATTGTCAAATCTGTTCGCCGTCGTTTGCTAGATGGCGTCTGAATGGTGCTTGGTGTTGGTGTAACTGGATTTGATCGCCGAGGGTTCAACCGTACAGAGCGCCTTAGCTTGTTCATACTGCGCGTTACTCGATGGTTATCAACTTGGCCCTCACTACCTCTGTTAATTAGAGGACAAAGATATACATATAATGATCGGGATCTATTGAAGGGTGTACAAGGTTGACACATAGGTCAAGCCATCTGTAGAGCTGAGAGAATGGATAGGTCACATATAGGAAGTACACATAAAGTTAAAATGTTTGGAGATGTTTATAGATGAAAAAGTTGGGAGAAGGGTGGGGGGGGGGTGTGAGAAGAAGTATAGAGATATTATATGTTAAAAAAGGAAAGTGCCCACAAAAAAAAAAACCTGGGAATGAGTTGTAGCAAAATATTCATTAAAACTCACTGTGCAGTAATTAATCTGAGGTGTTGCAAAACATAATATAATATTCACTTTAATCTGGCACAGGACAGATTGTAATGGGAAGATACTGCAACTCTACATGGATCAAGTGCACTCCATCATTTGTATGCAACTGTTTGTACCTAAAATGTTAAAAGATATGCAGGCCTAACTGTACCTTCTCTTTTTTGTTGTTTCTGACACTGGAGTGGCCGGTTTGGAAGCTGTTTTTGCGTTGGAACATGTGCCCCAACTAGTCACAATGTTCGCAGGCTTGCATAGCTTGTCAACAGGTGCTTCTGAAATATGAATAACATTTAGTTTAATTACCAAGATTACAAATTTGTTTGATGTGCCATATATGGGTATGATCATGTCATAATACATGCAAATATGGGCATATCACATTTATTTGTCACATAAAATTTGAGTGTAGATGGATCTTAAAACATTTACTGTATATATATTTATAGTATTATGCTAATTAACCTCAGTAAGTTAATAATAATGTGCACAATGAGTAAATACCATTGCAGGGGCAGATCCAGAGATGTCTGAAAGGATTGAGATAAAACCACTGTAGGGGCGGAATTTTTGTTTTCTAGACGCCCGAAAATAACCTCTGAGGCATTTTGGTTGATCAATTTTTGAGGGACAGTTCAAGTTCGATTGCCACATTGAAATGGTCCTTTGTGAATGTTACAATACATTATGCTAACCTGTTTGTTTAATTTCAGCCACTGTGCTTTCTGGTTTCTTAACACATTTTGTTTCAGAGCTTGTGGTCCAACTTGTAACAAGATTTGCAGGCTTTCGTGGGTTTTCAACAGACACTTCTGAAATATGAATGAAAGTTTTAATTTGTGTAATGAACATGTTACTGTAATACATTTATACACCTGCCAACTCTCACGCATAATACTTAAGTCTCATGCAATGAGCATTCACTTTCTATGTCTCACGCATATGTTTCATTATCTCATGCATCATAAGAATTTTGAGAGGCCGATTATACCCTAAAATTCATAAAAATGAAGTGAATTCATCATTAAAATGTGAATACAGGCCATGTAAATTTCATTTAACAAAGCTTTACAGATCGACGACTGGAAACAGTAGTTCCACCACTACAATTAAAAAATATAACATAGAGGGCTCTCTATTTCGTGATTTTTACATAGAGGGCGGCATATACAAATTTTATTAATGTGCTATTTTCAAAGCTAACCTGCTTCTATGCTTTGGGCCACTGGACTTTTGACTTTCACGGGGCTAGCTTGAATCTCAGGACTTGCTACCTTTGTAAGTGCATCTGCATTAAATGCTGGTAATGAAATGAGTTTGGCTTCACCTGCAGGGGCTTCTGCCTTAGGGGATTCAACTACAGGGGCATCATCTGCTTCAGGGGCTACAAACACTAGAGGGGCTATAACTGCTACAGGTGTTTTAGTTGCCGGGGCTTCAGTAGCCGGGGCTACAGCTGCCGGTGCTACAGCAGTAGAGGCCTCATTTGGCGAGTCTTCAGTTTCCATAGCACTTGTATCGCCCTCACTGTCTTCGTGCTGGGTGATCTTTGGTGGGGCTGGTATGTCTTCGTTTCTGAATACTGGTGGATTTGGAGCCACAGTGTGTACTTGTAGTGATGAGGCTTCATGTTCCGCCTTGCCATCTTCTTGGGAATCTGACAAAATAACTCTTTCAATTTATTGATTTTTAACAATTCAAAAATAAAATTTGATAAGGCCACTGGAATGAAAGTTGTAGGTTTGCGTCCACCGCCCGCATGCCTAAACAGCTACCACACGAAAATTTTCATTATTTTGAAAAGTTCATTATTTTGAAAAAAAATATACTTCGTTTTAAAAAACGGACTTTCTAAGCCGTAAACAGACAGAAAAACGATCTATTCATCACTGATCACTCGTCGCGAACACCGAGCGAAGGCAGGCCTGGCCACATCGCACCATGAGCACCGATCACTGCTGAGGTCATTTACGGGTCAAATCGATCTTTCTGACCAATAGGAAATCTCGTATGTTTATAGAGGTCTTAAATGTAGAAAAGGATCTGTTTTATAGGCTAGTGTACATTTATGGCTGTAAGCATTGTTTCTTGGGAATAAATGTAAAATTACCAATGCCGCAGCTTGTGGACAGCATTTATAAAAAAAATAATGAAAAATGAAAAAATGCCTTATGTGTTTTCAAAATTTTTCGGACGCAAACCTACAACTTTGATTCTCGTGGCCTAAAAAAAGAGGGTTTACATTAGAAAATAATATTGATTTTTATAAAGTGCTAGAAAAAAAAAAACATTGGAATGTATGAACAAATTATTTAGGAAGATATTCTTTATTTTGTTTATCAAAACAAAAACAAAAAATTCATTTTGTGTCTGTAATAAATTTTGTACTTTCAGTGATTTATCATGGCATATTCCTGTTTTTGGGACATTCAAAGAATCCTAACTAAAGGTTTTGCACAGGCAGGTCATATGGTTGGCATAGAACTTGTGTAGCAAACAATTTAAGCAATTTTTACATTGTGGATTTTACAATACCATGGATATCTTTATTATTATTAATGTGAAGGAACTAAAATAATCTATGGTTATTCTTATAACATGCCATAGAATAGTGCATTAATACAAGACTGAAGTTTAAGGTTAGGGTCAACCCAGCTCTACCAATAAACACCTCAGATTTACGCGAGTTTGTTGGAACAATATTCACGGCCACTAAAATACATTAAACATCATACCACTGCCTGAAGACAAGTGAACCGAAGGCTTAGTTATTCTCAGTGGTGATGTCTTCATTTCAACATCTGAGGACTCCATCTTATGTGGTGAATTACTTGATCCATCACATATTGGTTTCAACTCTTCTTTAAAATTTTGGGTATCATCTCCTGATGACGGTATTTGTGTTTTCGTAGCAGCAGCATTCGTAGATTCCTCAATATCCAATGGTATGTTATTTTCATGATCAAAATCTGAAAAGAGCAGATAAAACAGTCTTTGACTTTGTAAATATTTTGTTTCTTTCTACTTTTGTATTAATACAGACAAGTTTGATTCGAATAGGGCATAAATCTAAACTTGTTAAATATATCTACCCTTATAATTATATAATATATCTACTAGGCCTAGGTCCATGTAGCATACAGCAGTAACCATAAAAGATAGCCTAGGCCTGGCTACCATCCAACAAAGATCGGTGAGCTAAAGACACATGACATGGCATTTAAACTTTGTCTTTTTAGGCCTAGCCTAGCTAGGCGTCTAGCCTACACTTTACACAACAGAATACAACAAAACAAGGCTGGTGACAATATAGAATTAGGCTAGGTCTAGCTTTGCTTGAATTGAACAGAGGAATATCATCTAGCCTAGAGTCCTATGCCCATTGGTTAGCCTAGGCCTAGGGGCCTAGGTAGGGCCTCTGTTTATATTTTATTACTGTACTCACTGAAATACTCCTCCGCGTCGCCATCAAAACTATCGTCAGGCTTTGAGAAATCGACGAATTGTGGAGCTAGAAAATCCCATTTGTGACCCAACGTATCATCCATTTCGACACCAACCTGATGATCTAAGCAATACTTAACACTTTTCGGACACTTATATTTTAGAATAAGTTCTAAAAATTCTTTAATTTACGACTTAAAAGTGCAACAAAAAGCTTAACCAACACGGACGACTTCGTAATTCCCGGTGATGTTCGAATTGACCAATCAACAATCACGGTCGTATCACCGGTCCGAAGGTAGAGCTTATAGAGGGCGCTCTTGTCATTTAGAGCACCGAGAGCCGTAGATAGAGAGAGAGAGTTTGGCCAACTTGGCGCATGTTGTTACCAAACAGCGTGCGCGCGTATAGCTTTATAACACTTTATATGTAACACTGATGTTGCATAGACTTTTTTTTATTTATTCTGTTCATGATGGCAATTCAACTATGGGATTTTAATATATATACTATCGCCGTTAGTTTGTGGCCGGCTCGCCAATGTTTTGTTTTGGTGACAACATGGCCGGTGTAAGTCATGTGATTGCAATCCACCCAATCACACGCGCGTATAGCAGAATCCCGTGAAACCGATTTGGCCAAACTCTCTCTATCTACGGCTCTGTTAGAGCACAGAACAGAACATGCATGCAGTACAAACTACAACTAAAATACAGTATGAAGTAGAGATCAGTGGTACAGAGCTGTTACAGAAAGGTAGATATAAAAAATCATGTGGTTAAAATTAAAATCTAAAAAAATTAATATTTAATAAAATCACGAGACAGATCGAAGCTATTCAATTATATCTGATGCGCCTAGGTCGCTGTACTATACATCATTTAAGCATATTCTTCTATGTTTAAATATTAGTTTAAGTTCTACACAACCGTAAATATTATGGTCCCTAGAACTTATATGGAATTCTTTAGGTAGATCCCTGAAATGATGTTGTGTTGCATATTTGTAATATTTATTGTTGCATGTGTATATTTATCGGGGAAATAATAGGCCTATATTTGATATAAGATGAATAAAGATATATTTTATATCCGGATGTATTTCAACACAATAGATCTACGGTATTTATTTATAATTTTATGGCCTCGCCTCCCCCCATTTTTTTTATCTCTTCTTCTCTACGGTACGGATTTACTCGGTTTTTAATGGTCTAGTAACAGGTAATGTCCTCACTGAGTCTCTCTTTTTATTGTAGGCCTAGGGAAATGGAAACAAATAGGCCTATATGAAGACGAAAATCATGAAAAAAGAAATTACTACCTTGGTGTATTTATGAAGCTGTGTTGAGCCCCAAATGCTGCTACAAAAAAAGTCAAATAGCTTCTAAGTTTCCTTTTGATATTTTAATAGTTGTTATTTTCCAACAGAAACTAGAGAAATAGGTATACACATTTTCCTAATATAATCATTAATCTTTGCGGAGACAAATTTCTTTCAGCACGTACATTCAAACGTTTGTAGTAAATAATTAATAAACCCGATTTTTTTTTTTTTTTTTTTTTTTTTTGTAATTCTTATTCTTTTAATTGAGCAATTTATCTTTTTAGGCCTACGAGAGGTTTGTCATTATGATAGATTAGAAGGTAACAAATGCGGTACAAAATTATTCAGATTCATATTTCTTTCATTTGGGTTATATACACTATTTATATACACTAGCACACCAAGAGCTGCGGCAGGGTAATTTTTTGTATTTTAGGCAACGGTGGCGTCGCATACTGTATTTATGTTGGATTGCAACATCATTATTCATCATCACAGTCATTCGCTACACTGTTGTCGTTGTCGTGTTTGAGAGGTAAAATTATCCTTAACATTTCTCAAAGTACATTTTATTTCATTTCAGTGTAGTAAAATTCTTCTGATATTCGTTGTACGTGTTAAATATCCGAAATATGTAGATATAGTTTACAGCAATTGGATAGTAGTCGTAATTAATGCTAGGCCTGCCCTTAAGTCGCTCTGACCAATGCGGGAAATGATGAAGATCGACCCCGAGTGGAAGTTATTTGATAGAGAAAAGGAAGTGATCATGCTTGTTTTGCTATTCCCCAAGGCCTTAGTTTCTGCCAAGGGATCATGAAATTGACAAATAACAGAAAATACACTATGTATTTACTCATAAGGAACTTTGATTGATTAACTTCGAAGTCCCTGGTTTGATATTAGGCTTTATTTTAAGAGGCTGTCATTTTATTGCAGTTTGATTTTTTTCTGGCAGATTCACAAAAATGGAGAACATTACATTTTCTGGGAAGTGTGTTCTGGTGCTGTGGGCAACAGGACAGGACCCTGAAAATGTGAAAACACTTGTTGACAAGTTGAATATATCAGTCGGCGAAGGAGGTTCCGTCAAGGTGGAGAACATGCAAAGACTTCTATCTGTCTCTTATACACATCTAGAAGTGTATAAGAGACAGCTTTACACAACAGAAATTGACAGAATACAACAAAACAAGGCTGGTGACAATATAGAATTAGGCTAGGTCTAGCTTTGCTTGATATGTCATCATCACAGTCATTCGCTACACTGTTGTCGTTGTCGTGTTCGAGAGGTAAAATTATCCTTAACATTTTTCAAAGTACATTTTATTTCATTTCAGTATAGTAAAATTCTTCTGATATTCGTTGTACGTGTTAAATATCCGAAATATGTAGATATAGTTTACAGCAATTGGATAGTAGTCGTAATTAATGCTAGGCCTGCCCTTAAGTCGCTCTGACCAATGCGGGAAATGATGAAGATCGACCCCGAGTGGAAGTTATTTGATAGAGAAAAGGAAGTGATCATGCTTGTTTTGCTATTCCCCAAGGCCTTAGTTTCTGCCAAGGGATCATGAAATTGACAAATAACAGAAAATACACTATGTATTTACTCATAAGGAACTTTGATTGATTAACTTCGAAGTCCCTGGTTTGATATTAGGCTTTATTTTAAGAGGTTGTCATTTTATTGCAGTTTGATTTTTTTCCTGGCAGATTCACAAAAATGGAGAACATTACATTTTCTGGGAAGTGTGTTCTGGTGCTGTGGGCAACAGGACAGGACCCTGAAAATGTGAAAACACTTGTTGACAAGTTGAATATATCAGTCGGCGAAGGAGGTTCCGTCAAGGTGGAGAACATGCAAAGACTTCTATTGTGTAGGTTTATTATTTTTATTGTCATTTATAAAGTAATATGTTGTATTGTCTGACAGATATCTGACAGATAATTGTAAATTGTATTGTCATTAATCTTCTAGTGTTATTATTGAGATATATTTTTCTGTACCATCCCATAGTAAAGATACTATTTTTATATTTCTACCGATTTTTTGTAAACAATGGTTTTCAGCCATTGGCTGCTGTTTTATACCAAAATACAAAAAAAAATTAATAAAATTACCTCGCCTTTTTATTTATTGCATATTTTTATTAATTACTTTACATAATTTTATAGGTTATAGGTGTCTGTCAAATTAATACTGGTAATTAAGGATGAGAAGCAAAATAAAAACATTGAAATAATCATAGAATAAACTACAGTGTTACGTCACGATACCATGTGATACTACTTCGTTGCAAGAAGCCTTCAACCAGACGTCATTTTCTAAACTGACAAACTATTGATCCCAATTTCTATTGAATTATTAAGATGTTGTATCTTACTTTTTCTTTGTAAATTTTAATTGATGATTAAATGTGTGTTCGTTAACTAATATAATGCAAGCTTTTGTGTTTTTAGTACATTTTGATGGTAAAATATTGGATTTTAAAATGCCTATTCCAGAAAGCCTATGAAGTCATTCAGGCGTATTGGACAGTAACCAACGTCTGTTGTAAACAGAGTGCGCCACCTGGCGTCGTGACGACAGGACTGTGTCACTCTATAGATAATAATAATATTTTTAAAATGTTTAATGAATTCATGCATGCAATTTTTAAATATATTTAAACATAGAGATTAAAACTTTATACAGTATATTCTAATTAACAGTATTTGATAGCAGAATCCACTGGATACTAAATGGGCTTTAGTAAAACGATGTGGATGTTTCATTTTCTTGCAGCCTCGTATTCAAGTTCTATGTTTGATGTAGCTCTCTTAGGCACCTCATCTCCTCATGTCTCACACAGTCTAGAAATTCTTGGAGAAGTACTGAGGATTCTGAAACCTGATGGTACAATGGTTATTAAAGAACCAGCTGAAACAGGTAAATAATTATGATATTTAAAAAAAACAATAAAAAAAAAAATAATAACAATTTAATAGTTCAGGTCAGTTAGTACCTGTATCATTACTTAGTACATTTTATTGGAACTGGGTCTGTACAGTTGTATAATCTGTCAGCAAAAGGGATTGGAATTTGGTGCGAGAGTGACCTAGTTCAATTCATGCTTGTTTCTTTGGTAAGAAACTTTGCTCAAATTATCTCGCCCTTCGGTTAGGACATTTAGATGTTGCTCTGTGCATAATAGCACATGTGCACATAAAAACTAAAATAAAGTGAACTAGTGAAAAAGAGAAGGGAATTGTCTATCAATCTATTGACCATGTTAATAGGCACTGCATTGCAACAGCCTGCAGGAATCCATCAAATTCCCTATTTTGAATAAACTGAATAAACATGAAACAATATAAAAGAAATAGTAATACTGGTGCAATTATTTTATTATAACAGAAGAATTTAGTTCAACTAATACAGTCAACGTTTTTGAAATTATAATAATGTTTTTATAATTATAGTAAAGGTTATATAATTTTATTTTAATAACTACAGTACAATAATGTTTATTTATTCTTCTCGTTAATTTTATTGTTTATCCTCCTGCAGTGTAAGTGTTTGCTGTTGGTTGGGTATGAGAATAAAACAAATACTGTAAATAAAAATGTTTATAATAATAAAGAGAATACTGGTAGCAGTGATGTTGGTGGTGGCAGAGACAAACAATATTTTCTTATCATTTTCTTGATCCTTTTCATGTATAGATAATACTCAAAAAGCAAGTGCACTGATTGGCTCACTCAAGTTGTCGGGTTATGTCAATCTTTCCGAGGTAAGCTATCAGTCAATTTAGTCAAGTTTTAAGAAATTTGATTGAGTTTTGATTCTGTAATTAAGTAGACTATAATTTTTTAACTGTAAGACTTCATTTAAAATTAGTTTAGCGAACACTCCGACCAAAAATAACGGTGATTTCTAATATAAATTTTTTTTTTTTTTTTTTGGAATTTTATATAATGGAAATTTCAGAAATAAAAAAAATTGTAATTTATTTTTACTACCCCATCTGCTCCCTTGAAATTTCCAAAAATAAGGTATGTAATATTTTGTCCTTAATCTCAGCACTACACTGTTAACATTTACCACTAAAATTATATTTTTAATATTTCTTCCACATAAATGCTTTGGCAAAATCATTTTGTTTAACATGAAAACAAAATTAAATTTTGATTTTTTTTTCTACCCTCATCTGACAATCTTGAAAAAAATAAGTTTGCTGAACAAGGTATTAAAAAAGTCTTGCCTTACCTAAAAGAAATACAACTGTCATCATATCTATGGCTTTTACTGAAGTCTAGAATTATTTCTTTATTCTAGGCCTCAGTTACCAAAAATGGTTCACAACCTGTTGTTGAGATAACCTGTAAAAAGCCTGCATTTGAAATGGGGTCTTCTGTTAGTCTGCCGTTGTCATTTGCAAAGAAATCTCAAGGTAAGATATATTTCTTCAACATCTATTGATAATAAGGAAAGAATTGATCAGGCCTAGAAAAGTGGCATTACTTCTGAAATTTAAAAAAAACTTTATTCCTCATATACAAAAGTCAACAGTGTCTCTCATTTGATTCTTTCACAGGTGTAAAAACAGTAGATACAAATGTTGCCAAGGTGTGGTCACTCTCAACTAATGACATAATGGATGATGACTTGGTAAGACTTTAGTAAATCTTAATGTAGAAGAGTATAATTATGTTTCCCCCCCCCCCCATTTGCCATGAAAATACTGTTCGGTCAGGCTAAACTAAATACCAGTGTGATTTGAGCACCTGTGAATTATGCCTATTTATATTTTCCAGGATTTAATAGATTCCGATGACCTTTTACAGAAGGATGACCTTATAAGACCTACTGCTGAATCTCTAAAAGGTTACTATATAAAAATATATGTATATTTATAATATATTACATTTCATTTCATTGCAATATCAAATATGTTTACTTTAATGTACAACCCTATGTAGGCGCCTGTCTCATTTTATATCTTTAAAATAAATGGTATAATGATGTATTGGTGAAATCATAATTGTTATGATTGATTTATATTTATGATAATTGATTTGTTTACTGTAGCCCCTGCATGTGGACCTTCATCAGGGCGAAAGAAAGCGTGTAAAAACTGGTGAGTACAGTAGTTTTAAAATACATACACTTTGTTAACACTTTGTAGCAGGAACAGCCTATGTCCTCATTTAGTTGTTCTTGCAATTTATAATAATAATGCAAGAATATATATATTTTTACAATAAAGTTATGATCAATGTCTTGTTATACTGAAAACATATTAATAACTTCCTGAAATTCTCTACCTAATTTGCATATTTTTGCAGTACATGTGGATTAGCTGAGGATCTTGATGCGGAGAGTGAAGGAAGGACACCTCAACCCAGAGCAGCAACCTCAGCGTGCGGTAGCGTAAGTATCCCAGCATTATGTTGTTATGTCGGGGCTAAACCAGGGCACACGCTACGATAGTAAGGCCTTCACAACGATTCCATTTGATGGCACAATGCTGATGTCGTTAAACACAATCTGTGGCATGCGCCTCATTGCATGGCAGGTCCCAGCTTTTGAACCATAGGACATGTGGGTTTGGAGGAGGTGTGGCTGCAAACTTGTAATTTATATTAGCATCAAGTAACACACCCTTGTTATCTCTCCCCCCCCCCTTTCTTGGATGAGCTAAGTATTGGATTGCAGCTTATACTGGGTACAGTGTAAGTTTTTCTTTATTCAATTCTTTGTTTTCCTTACAGTGCTACCTAGGAGATGCTTTCAGATGTGCGAGTTGTCCATATTTGGGTATGCCAGCATTTAAACCCGGAGAGAAAATAAGTCTGAGTGCAAGGCAGCTAAATGCTGATGCGTAGATGACAAGATAATAAAGGAATTGTAAACACCTCATTGAAAAGAAAATCAAATACTTAGTGCACAAATCACCCTTTATTACATGAGACATTTCATAATGTAATTCATTAGGCCTAAAACCACCTCGAGCAATGAGGAACGGAGCAATCTGAACGGAGCTCAATTTGTGTACAGCTGAAGGAGATCCCTCTAATGTGTCCAGGCAAAAATGTGTTTTCTGAAATTTTCAAAGAGAATATTACAAGCAAGATACTAATAATTTTTAATTTATACAGGAATTTATGCATGAAATTTGAATTAGCATAACTGTGTGACAATTTGACTGCATATTCCATGACTACACATGGAAATAAAACAGAAACGAACTATAGATTACTAAATAGGGCCTGCTTTATACAATACCAAGAAATTGTACTATACACAACACTATATTGCACCACTTTACACATTTATCAAATTCCCTTTAAGTGGAACTCTAGGTTCCATCGAGGACCTTCCTACCCCTGACTGCACTTTAGACTCTAAAAACCTTTAGGTCTGGTAAAGCCTTCACTATCAATTATATTAGTTGATGAAATCGTATTAGCCCATTTAGAAATTGAATCATTGAACCTCTACCGACTTAGGTATGATACCAATTTAATATAAAAGTACATCTTTTAGCTATTTATGTATATTAATTCAATTTAGGCATTTTACTTAATGTTTGTGAGAAGGTAACAATTTACAATCAGGAACAGATTCAAAATTTTAAACAGTTGAAACGGCTGTGTGTGGTCACCACTGCACTGTCACAAACCATGAGATTTTCTTAAGGAATAGAAGGAAATAAGTTTAATAAATGTAAATTTTTGTAAAAATCCAGTAACTGACTCTCTCTTATGTGTTATCTGTGAGTACATTACCTATATTCAGTGTAATATAACACGCACAAACATTTGACAAATTAATACAAGTGAATGATTTACAAAATGGAATTTATTCGTACTGTACCATAATGTTCTTTAAATATATACTGCACCAACAATCAAATAAAGTTATTAGAACAATAACAAATTGTCACTGCCAATTAATAGACATTTAAAACTTTCTCCTTGGTCAATTACCCAAGCTGCACAGTAAATCAACTGAGAAAACATTGCTAGAAAGAAACCAGGCTGTTCTTCCAAAGCAGACGCATCCAATTTAAACAGCTCGTTTGATGGCGCTCTAATTGTGGAACTTTCCAAAGAATGTATCCACGAGTTCACTGGCCATGTATTGCAACATTCTAATCGGTGGCAGATCCATGAATTCAAAATAGAGGGGGCCCAGGGTGGGGCATTCACAGATGGTCTAGACCACCTCAACCCTACCATGGTTGGTTGGGTGTGAGGTAGGAACATTTATGATTATGGTACCTCAAGATGGCCGAAGATGGCACTCTGACTTTCTCCACTTTTAAATAATTTTGGAAATTATTCTCTTCCCCAAACCCCACCCCCGCCCCAAATCCACCACTGCTAACATGTTGTTCAGTCACAGGCTCAGTAAAACCTACTGTGTATTTACAGTAAACCCAAGTGTGAGGTGTGATATGATTTGACCAAGATAAAGTTACTTTTCGTGTTGGTCAAAATTTCAATGCAAACGAGGCTTGGCATGTTGAATTGTATTCAATGTACTTCGCATGATTTGAACCCAGTATAATGGTTTTGAAAGGTGAGCACCTTATTAAACTCAGAGGTACAGCTCCACTAAACTAACATAGTTTTCACAATCCGAGGACCAGTTAAATTGATACATTTTTCTTGCAAAAAAGATATCCATGTGAGAAGCATGAAATTATTTTAGATTCCATCGGATCCATTCATCGTCCATAAAAGTTTTTGATTCCATATGATCAATGTATAGAGTTCCATTCAGATGATCTATCTCATGCTGAAGGATCCTTGCTGGATATCCGGACACTTGCCATTCTAAATCCTTACCATCACAGTCAAAACCTTAAACCATAGAAAATATTTTACAAGTTAATTCAGAATTTCTATTTAATGATGGTAATTATAATTAATAATACAGTTAAACTTGCCTAAGTCAACTTTGCCTAACTCGAATAATTTCTATGTCGATCTTATTTTACAATTTTTGCAAATTGTTGTGTTTCTATTAACAAACAATCTCTAAGTCAAATTTTATCTAAGTCAAACAACTTTTCAATGCCATTTTGGATTCGACTTAGGCAAGTTCAACTGTATAACTGAATGAATTTTTAAAGAATTAACCCACTTAGCATCAGCATGGAGAAGCAGAAAGGAGTTTGAATTGTATGCTCCCTGCCTGTGAATACACTAGTGCTATGTAATGACATAAATTAAATGAAATAAGATATCACTTCTCTGATTACATAGTCCTTTAGAATAGATGTTAAGTTGTCAGTCTTGTTTACACAATATGGCTCTGGGCGAAAGAACAATGAATGTGTTAAAGACTCGTGTTTCCAAACAGGAAATACGGTACTCAGGAAAGGGCCATTGTTTGGGAATCTGTTTTAAATGAGGAAATTTTGATAGTGAGAAACCCAGGGGGAACATTTCCACTAAGCTGTCTGCACACTGAAAAAGAAGTATGCACATAAGAAATTACTTCTATGGTATTGAATATACCTTTAACCTTCACTTCATAAAATCTTGGAACATGGGCACGGAATCCTTTCAGACTGAGACAGCCCTCGGGCCATGTTAGTGTTCGTCGATCAAGAATTATTAATTTTGGGTTGATAATCACTGTCAATGGGAACTCCTTAGCTTCCCTCATTTTGAACACTTCTGGGGGCCATAATTTTGTGTGCTTGGGGGTAAATTCCACAGCAATTATTTGCCAAGCAGAGCCAATCTGCGGTGCCGCAATTCCAACAGCTTTTTCCTTTCTCAGAACTTTTATCATTTTTGTAATAACGTTTTGAATTTCTTTGGATTTTATACTACATTGCGGCACCGGTGAACTTTCCATGCGAAGGACTGGATCTCCAACTTGGCAGGCGTGGTCGTATGGTGGTGATTTTGATCGTGGAGCTTTGATGCAGTGTCTTGCAGCGCGCCAAAGTCTTGTGGTTATAAGTTCATCTGTGATGGTCCTACTGGCATAAAACCTTGAACAAGGTGTTTGCATAGCTTTTATCACTAACATGATGCTTTTGGTAAACATTTTCTGAAATCAAAAGCAGAACACTAAGTAGTAAAGTATGCATTCTGGGAGATTCTTGCTTGCTCACAGAAGTGCTGGTGGCTTTCCCACGACATGCCTTGTGGGAGACCCTTATTTTGGCATGTTTTGAGAATGTATGCCCAAAACATAGGCCTATAAAATGTTTTTGCTCAAAAAGGGCTTTCACCATCCCTGGCACTCCCATCGTAGCTACCATACCCTACCAAGCTCCCCCACTCCATAAATTAAATGTTTCGTTTCATTGCAGTAATTACAGAGAGAGGGCTCGAGCCCTACTAGCTAGAGAGGCCTTAATTAAATATCTGTTTCCAAGGAGATTCCAGTCGAGAAAATAGAGAAAGTGACCCAGGACGGTAGAGTAGTAGCTGTCGCTGTACAGTGTAGGCCTAGAACTAACTAATTCCCCCCCCCCCTTCTCCTGTTTCTAGCTTAGCTAAGCCTAAATTTGATTTTCACGTGTATTTTCTTATAAATTAATCGTTTCTGGTTACAGAATGACTTAAAACTTACATAAAAACTGAATTCAGGCCTTTTCGCGAAACTTTTGATAACCTTTTTCTTGCCATGCGGTTATGGCTATTCGCCCGACAACGTGTATCTAACTTCTTAGAATGAATCAGATGTGTCAAATGTAAACATTTTACGAACCACCACGATTATTATTGGATACGATATGCACGATTAATATTTTTCATCCGTATTTTCCCTTCTATATCATTTATGTGTACAATCGGTAGAAGAAGTTACCTTGGTAGGCTTATGTTTCAGGTTAGGCCTAAACTATTTCTGCAGCAAGAGTTATGCACAAAATGAAAAGTTTATTGATTTGAAATTACACAATTGAAGGTTACGATGGCGTACCGAAGTAAAAATGTCCACACGCATTTTAAAAGATTTATACAAACAGCACGACATGTGAAACAGTTACCGACAGGAGGCTTAGGAAGACAGTCAAAGAGGGCCACCAGTGTCCACAGTGAATCGTTGTTAAACCTCTATAATGTAAGATCCATGAGTCAGCTTAACTTTACTTGGCCTAGCCCTAGAGCCCAGAGAAGAGAGACATGTTCATAATTATATATATCCGGAAACTGCAATGAATATGTAGTTTCCAAATGCCGTATTTGGGTCTTCATTTTGCAAAGAAAAAATAATATAAAAAATGATATAAACAATTTGTATGATGGCTGTTTCATCATATTATGGCATCGTCATAAGATGATGCAATGAAATGATAGTGTACTTGTAGTTGAGTCCTGCAGTGCAGTCCTTAAGAACTAAGCAAGTACCGTATCAATTATTAATTTTTTTTTTTTATGGATGCACAACTTGTAGACTTAGAATTCAGATTACTTTTCCTTACCATTTTTATTAAATTAATATTTAGGCCTATAATATGCTGTAGGGCCTAAATAATACTTATTAATTATTTTACAAACAGTGATTGGTATTTTTTTTTTTTAAATATAAAATTATTTTTTTTAAACACCATTCGGAATACTTGGGAATCGGATTCATCACTAGCCACCGAGCTCAAGATCGGTGGTCTGGAGGTTAACACACCAGGCTAATTATCTGGAGATCATGGTTTCGATTCCCACCCGTATCACTTGCACAATTTTTTCGCAAGCATTTGGGAACGTACAATTCATTTAGTTACACGTCAGGGCAAACATCGATTCGTAGCATTTCATTTCCTCTTAATTTTTGTAAATCTGTTTTTTTTTTTTTAAAGCTTGGAAATGATTCCTCAGTGTTTGGCTATATCCTGAATTCACCACAGGTATCCAGTATCCTAACAGCATGGAAGTCGTTCTGCTCAAAACCACCAAAAGGATTTGAAAAGTTCTTCCAGGGGGGAAGCAAAAAAGCCCCTTCAAAGAAAGGTAAATTTGGGGTGTTTTTTGGTAAAAATTTCAATTTCTACTTTATGTATCATTAGCATTTACCAGCACTTAGATTTATTAATTCATAGTATTATTATCAATGTCTTAAAGGAACAATTGAAATTTAAAAAGTATTAACACTAACAACAACAAACAATCGAAAAGTATGAAGGAAATGGGAAAATACATTAGGTAATAAAAAAATAAAAAATACACCCACCCATGGTAACTCAAAATGTTAAAACAAGTCTAAACTACATATTAAGCCTTCTTAACAATGAGTTGTCATCGAGATAATGAATTGGTCCATATCAAAAATGAATTGAAGAAAAGAGGTAAAAAGGAAAAAAGAAATAGGGAAATAAAGAATAAATATAGAAAGAAAAAAAATTTAATATGGTAGTTATTAAAGTAACTTGAAATATTTTCAATTTTTTTAGACGTTCCAAAGACAAATCCAAGTAAAAGCAGTGACCCACCAAGTAAATCCAGCCAGAAAGAAACGGATTTCTGGAACACACTTTGGAGTGGTGGTGGCTCTCGTGCTGGTGGAGGTGGCGGGGGTAAATCACCGATAGACGACAAAAACAAACAGCAACTATATCTTACAATGGCAGTGACGGTAGCGGGGGCCCTTGGTCTTGGATGGGTAATGATGGGGGGATCGGCGTATGAGATCACCTGGAAGGAATTTGTCAACGAATATTTAAATGCGGGACAGGTAATGTTAAAAGTTTTTGTTAACAGTTATTCGGAAACTTTAGCTGTAGCTGAATGTTGCAGCTAGGCTTGTTTCTCCTACTGTGAAGCATCAGCAGTTTTCTTCATTGGCTACCAGTTGATCAATGTATTCACTTGGAAATTCGTCTTTTTGTGTATAAGACTCTTCATTGTTCATCTCCACTGTACATTGATGACCTCAAATTGCACTGAACTACATGTGGTCACATACTCAGGTCCACATCGTCTAGTTCTACCATTCTTCATCATTGTCCTTCTGGTTGATTAAAAAACTATGGTGATAGATCCTTCTCTGTTGCTGCACCTAAATTGTGGAATGACCCAAATACATAAAGTCTTCTTCATCTTTAGCTTTTTTTTTAAATTCAAAATCCAAATTAAATTTCATACACAATTCTTTATTTTTCTTTGTTCCTGTTTTATGTTGGTTTCTTTCTTTCGTCTTGACACTGGGTAAAGAGTGCATAGAGACATTGCACTATATTATGCGCTATAGAAATGGAAGACCATTACCAATAGTACCTTTTACTCACTTTTGATGTTAGCACCATATGCTTCATCATTAGATATTGTCTTTTTGAAACATTTTAAATTTTGTGCTGTTGGATTTTTGTTGTTGTTGTTAGGTTGAGAAAGTCGAGGTAGTTAACAAGCGCTATGTTAGAGCATGGTTAAAACCAGGACATTCAAAGGGGGTAAGTGTAAATGGATATCATCTCAAAATTGTAATTATTGTTTATTCTTATTCTAACTGTACCGCATTAATATTGGTTGACCTCCATATGGTAATTTATCTTTTTTCGCTTTTTAATTTGCTTTCAGCGTTACGTATATTTCAACATCGGCAGTGTTGATACATTTGAACGTAATTTGGAAGCCGCCCAGGAAACAATAGGCATCGAGCCAGCTAATCAATTATCGATACTTTACAGTACGGAGAGTGATGGGTAAGTCATTTGCATAATCATGCTGTAACAAAGGGAGAAATAGAGTTAAAATATTTCTTCCAAGCCACCTCTTCTCTACTTATGCCTGGCAAAGTTGAGCTACAGTTTAAGCCTAGATATTAATTCAATCTACAAATAGTTTTTAAATATTAAGACTTCATCTCTCTCTCTATACATTATTTGAGTTATATAGGGCTTCATGGCAAGGCCTGTAAGAGCTTCACATTATTACCCCCAGATATTGGATCAAGCACATATAGAACACATACTCAGCTCCCTGGTGAGAATTCCATAATGTTGCAAGTATTCAGCACATTCTGTGTTTGAACCTACCAGGTACCCACTTATACTCCTGGGTAGTGAGAGACAACTGTAGGTAATGTGCCATGCTCAAGGACGTAATACACAACAAGGGATTGAACTTCCGACCTCAATGTTCAGGAGCAGAACCACAACCATGGTGCCAAACCACTCCTATAAGGGTCAACTGCTTAAAATATGAAAAACAATTATATAACTATTCCTAATGTTAACTTTAATTTTCATCTCTTTTTAGGTCTTTCTTGCTGAGTTTGATTCCCACAGCTCTCATCATTGGATTCTTCTTCTATATATTCCGCAACTCTGCAGGTGTTGCGTCTGGGAAAGGGGGAAAGAAAGGGGGAATATTTGGATTTGGGGAGTCAACAGCCAGAATAATTAAAGAAGATGTCGGTATTAGGTTCAAGTAAGTTAACACAAAGAGGAGGTGGTAGTGATTAATAACACTGTTATAATGTGAGTGTGTTGTGAAAATGATTGACAGTAGATCTTTTGCTAAGCCCCACCCCTTGGATATTGTTGCTAAGGTCCCATAAAACGCAGTGTTAAAATATATGCAAACATTTTCAATTGTAAGACAGCACGTGTGTTTGTGAGACAATGCAATTTATGCCTCTATGGTGAGATCCGCGCATATTTCTGAACTTGGTCTAACTGGTCAGTTAAGGTTTATTGACACTCCGGAAAAGTCCATTATAGGACACAGATATGTTTGCTAATTAACGTGCATAAATAAATAATAAAAAGATCACCAAACAATGATGTAAATTATAAATAAATGTAATTCCAGTTGCTTGCCTGCTAATCTTTAAGTCTTTTTGCTGCAGGGATGTGGCTGGATGTGAAGAAGCTAAGCTGGAAATTATGGAGTTCGTCAATTTCCTGAAGAACCCTCAACAGTATTTGGATTTAGGTGCTAAAATACCAAAGGTAATGAAAACTATTTATATTATTCCCTAGCATATTCTATTCAATAGGAACTATTGCAACTTGTTGTATGTGTGTGTGTGCGTGTGTGTGTGTGTGTGTGCGTGCGTGTGTTTACTCTAAAACCAGACACTCATTGCACCTAACGACGGTTGTTGGCTGCCACGATTCTATAAAGTACTTAATGCTGTGGTGTGTGTGCAACAGATCGTTTTTAATGACGATCTGTTTAGACAGCCACTGACAATCAGCTGACATCTGATTAGTGCCATTCTCAACAGTATTTAGATACAGTATGTGACTACCTTTGTTTAATTTAATGTAGGGAGCGGTATTATCTGGTCCGCCAGGAACCGGTAAAACACTGTTGGCCAAGGCTACAGCCGGTGAGGCAAATGTCCCATTCATTACCGTCAACGGCTCAGAGTTCCAGGAGATGTTTGTTGGTGTTGGTCCGTCTCGTGTACGTGACATGTTTGCGATGGCTCGTAAGAATGCACCGTGTATTCTCTTCATCGATGAAATCGATGCAGTTGGTAGGAAGCGAGGGAAGGGTAACTTCGGAGGTCAGAGTGAACAGGAGAACACCTTGAATCAATTGTTGGTGGAATTAGATGGTGAGTATTTTACCACTTAACTTAATGTAAAATATGATAATAAAATAATGACCACTTAGCTGAGTGTAAAATTTCTTGATAAGAACCTTGAAGTACCATCCCATATTTTTGTTACTGGCTGATGTTGAAGACTACAGTGACATTTAATAATTATGATGATAATAAATTGATTGATTATGATGAAGATAAAACAGATGAGGATAAGTAAAATGATGATGATTAATGACAACCAGTGGTGGCTCTAGGATGTATTTTCTGTGGGCGCTAAGCTGTCTGACAGAGGGCACTTGGGCTTGTAGGCCCGAGCTGGGAGAAGGGTTTGAGAGGGTGTTCCCCCTCCCAAATGAGATTTTTTTAAGAATAGGAACCTCTGAATGGCCAATAATGACACTCTCTGATTGTGACAGACATGTGTTGGCTTGATGCAGGCCAATATTTATATGTTTTGTTGTCCAACTGCCCAACAAGCTCTGTCCGATTGGGGGGGGCTTGACCTGTCCGGTGGGGGGGGGGCCTTTAAGCCCCTGCAGCCCCCCTCCCCCGGCACTACCACTGATGATAACCACTCTGATGGAGCAAACCCTCCGATTGCTAATAATGGTGATTTTTAATACATATAACATTTTATTTTTGGTCTCTGCACGAAAAATGGAAATAATTTTTTTTTAAATTAATTCTTATTACACCCTCCACCTAGATGCCTTTTGCAAATACATTTTGCTAAATAAGAAACAAAATGTTTTTTCCATCCTCTTCTGACGATCTTGAAAATGTGTTCGCTAAACAAGGTATTAAACAGTTCTCACTTAAAACAATATATTTATGTAGAGACTGATATTAATATGAGATAACATCTGGTATTTGATTACAGGTTTTAATACAACAACTAATGTAGTAGTATTAGCTGGTACTAACAGGCCTGACATTCTAGATCCAGCTCTTCTGCGTCCTGGTAGATTTGATCGACAAATATATATTGGAGCTCCAGACATAAAGGGAAGGTACGTATTAATGATAAATCATGATAGCAATAGTCCAAACAAATTTATCAAAATCTCCCGCATGCTCTATTATAATGTTGGTGAACCTACATTTTTTTTAATCCAATTTAAAAATCCTGATATATTCATTCTGATTGGCTGAAATGCTGTGAAATCATTTTTCTTTTTCTTTTTCTTAGAGCATCCATATTTAAAGTGCATCTGAAGCCATTGAAGACAAATGTAGACAAGAACACAAGCAGCCAAAAGCTAGCAGCATTAACCCCTGGATTTACAGGTGAGCTAAAAAACTGCCTTCTATTGTTAGTATAAAATTGTATTGCAATGTATTGCATCATACCTTGACAGTGGACCTTTTTAGTGTTTCTTCTGAACCCACAAACACACATCCGACGACCTAGTTGTGCATCAGACAGGGGGTCCAGGCCTGTCCAACGGGTGGAATACTCCCCCTGCCCCTGCTTGTGTCACCACTGTATGTATTAACAAGTAAATAAAAAATATATGTTTTTATATTTTGTCTTACTATATGACATAAAGAAATAAGAGTGAAGCTTTTTTTTTTTAAATCTGTTGCAGGAGCTGATATTGCTAATGTGTGCAATGAAGCTGCATTGATTGCCGCGAGGTTCGGCAACGACAGTATTCTAGCTAAACACTTCGAACAGGCCATCGAGAGGGTTGTGGCGGGCTTAGAAAAGAAAACACAAGTGCTACAACCAGAAGAAAAGAAGACTGTTGCATACCATGAGGCTGGGCACGCTGTAGCCGGCTGGTTCTTGGAACATGCTGACCCACTATTAAAGGTGTCCATTATACCTCGTGGTAAGGGTCTAGGTTATGCACAGTATCTTCCAAAAGAGCAGTTCCTATTTACCAAAGAGCAGATGCTGGACCGTATGTGCATGACGTTGGGTGGCCGTGTCTCGGAACAAATATTTTTCAACAGGATTACGACAGGAGCGCAGGATGACCTTAAGAAGGTCACGCAGGGTGCTTATGCCCAGGTCAGTTGTATGAAAGTATTTTTACATTGTTTTAATTTTTAAAAACTGAAGGTAATGTTTTAGTAAGTTTCTGGGGTATGCTGCAGTAATCATTTAAATGTGTCACTGCTGTCTGGCAGGCAGTAAATACTAGATAGATATGATACCAGCCCTTAAGTCCTAGGATTCTGGGTTAAAATCCTGTAAATTAAAAGTTCTGTTTTTCAACAGTGAGGTCAGCGGTTCAATCCCTCGCTGTCTCTTGTGTCCTTGGGCAAGACACTTTACCTATGGTTGTCTCTCTCAACCCAGGAGTACAAATGGGTACCTGGTATGTTCAAACACAAAATCTGTGATTACAGCTGCAACATTTTGGAATTTTTCTGGTATGTGTTCCATATGTGATTGATCCAATGACCAGGGTAGTAATATGAAGTGCTATATAAGACCGACATATTATTTGCAATAGTTTATATATTTTTTTTTTAGGTTGTTCAATACGGCATGAATGAAAAAGTTGGCAACGTATCATTTGATCTACCGCAACAAGGTGAGATGGTGTTAGACAAACCATACAGCGAAGAGACTGCACGCCTCATTGATCAGGAAGTCCGCCAATTAATCAGCGACGCATACAAGAGGACTATGGACCTCCTTACTCTACATAAAGAAGACGTAGAAAAGGTAGAAATATGTAAAATGTAAATCCTGATGTTTTAGACAATGGTAGGGTTGGATTTGAAGTTTTCAAGTAGACAAAGCCCTCAACAACTGTATCATTAGCCGAAAGCATTGCTACAGGTATTTGGTGCCCGTCTCAATATAGAGCGCTTGTGTAAGAAGCTTGGATGTCCATGGGAGTGGCATCACCAATCCTGTGATCCTATCACATCCAGGTGAAGTCCTTTTCGATCATCAGACAACAAAACTGAGGAGTGTGGAATTCATTATAATGAGAACATATCCCCCAGCTCAATTTGATACCCCCATGCCTTGACACTGCATCCAGGAACATAGGGTGTTCCTGGATGGAGGGAGAGCATGTACACATGATACCATTGCAATATGATATGCAATTGATTATTACATTTTCTGTTCAATTATAGGTTGCCAAAAGACTACTAGACCAGGAAGTACTAAATAAAGAAGATATGGTTGAGCTTCTCGGAGCACGACCATTTGTCGAGAAATCAACGTACGAGGAATTTGTTGAAGGCACAGGGAGCTTTGAGGAGGACACTTCATTACCGAAGGGCCTAGAAGGATGGAATAAGACCCAAGAAAAGGGGGAGAAATCTGAGGAAGAAGGAGCAGCCAGTGTCCCAACATAGCTAGGGTAGAAAAATGAATAATAAATTCATCATATATTTTACATTTAATGTAATATTTTACATTTACTGCAATAAATGAGGTTTTTGCTGTTATTGTACTAAATATTACATCTGTTAAAAATCAAGTGAGGGCAGTGTTTACTTCTTGGTTCAATAAAACATACATACCTTAAGTTATTAAAATGATGACAAATATTGCAAAGCAAATACTTTATAGTGTTTTACTCCAATTTCACTCAATCTGGTAAGCTGTTCACTTTAATAAAACAGTCAGTCATTTTTGTCGCATAAATAATTAAAATGAAATTTGAAAACCAACAGGGAAAATTGTGTTTTACCTACACACAATATTTTAAATAATTGTTCCAGTTTCTCTAAAATTTCAAAATCAAAGGTTGATCTTTGATCGTCGATTCAATGAGATGAATTAAGACGGTGATAATGTCAGCAATGTGTGCGATGCCAGATTTATAGCTGTTCTATTAAATTCTGAGATTAAATAGAATGTATGTTATATATATAATGCAGTCTAGAGTCTTTTTCCTGTGATAATTCTGCTTAGTGGAGTTAATCACTATTTGTATAAAATACATATATGTACAATATGCGGAAAAAATAATCAGACCAGATAATGAGGGAAGGGGAAATGTTCCTGTGGTCTTGGGGCTAGGGTACATCCTTACAAGAATGTTACACATTATTTACAACCACCACATTATACCTAAGGGGCAGATGCAGGCGAGTGCAGATGGTGCGATCGCACCCCTTAAATTGTATTAAGAAAAATAATTGTATTGTTGATATGAATAATCGGCAAGATTTTTAAGGAATGAGAGTGCAATTTCCGGGCACTCTCACCCCTTACCGCCACATCCTGCATCCGCCCCAGGCCTACTGTGTCGACACAGAAAGCTTATAGGAAAAAGTTCTCCCTCCAATTAAAGACCACTTTTGCGATCGGGGTTTCCATGGCCTCTAGCACTTTTGGTCTCTAATTAGATTAATAAAAATATGACATTTGTTAATTTGGGACCACAGAAAAATGGTCTTTATTGGAGGTAGTCTTTAATTAGATTCGAGAGCTGTACTGTTTTATTTGGTGGTTTATATATTGCATGTCATTTAATCATGGGTCCTAAAGCCGGTCGTCGGCCGACGCGATTGTATGGAGAACGCAACGCCAGGACGCGCGCGATGTGTGCCACCGACAATCAGCAGACGATGTGGTGTCGTCTAACGCTCACATGGAGCGGAGTTGGATTCGTTGTAGGCCTAAGAGCACCATACGACCGTGATGATGCAGTGAGTCTTCAGCTTAAGTTGGAAGAAGCTACGTTTGGCAGATCTTTCATAAAATCAGGATCCAGAGGAACAATATTGTTGATAAAGTTCTACAACTGACTTTTCTAAGACACAAAAAGGGTGTTTGACAAAAAACTCGTCCAGATTTGTCAATATCAAAGGGTGAATATTTAAAAACCGAAGGAAAAAGTGGCGTAACCAGCCATCTTTTCATCAGTTTTTAAATACTCAAAAAATGTATCTCACTTTAACCGTTTTTTTCGTCAAACACCCTTTTTGTGTCTTAGAAATATGTCCTACAACATATCAAAAATTGTTTTTCCTCTGGAACCTGGCTTTTAACGAGCTTTCTCAAGACATTAAATTATAATTTAGTGTGTGTGGTGATACAAAGGTTATACCTATACCCAGATGACACACAGGAGACAAGTTATAATACAGTAGTAAAAACATGCAAACAAAATATGAATTTGCGGAAAGGTGGGTTACTTTCTGGGAGATTTTGGCTTCCTTGTGAAAGTTTTGGAGGCTTTCCCGTTTTCCGGGAGACTGCGTGACTAGACATCCATGTGAAATGATACATAAACAGTAACAGTACATTTTAAATATACTATCATTACATTATTTAAAAATCATTAATTCATACTTTGTTTATTTCGCACAGTAGTCAATGTAACTACAATTAACCCTCTAATTTTCTCGATATTGTTTGCTCTTTTGTGTAAGCAGCTAGTACAACATATAATTATAAATAGAATATGAGTATGTTAACTCCGAAGAATGACAAACGTGAGGCCATAATTGATTCTACGTTTCGTTCTCTTGACAACTTCTAATAAAGAACGAAACGTAGAATCATGGCCTCACGTTTATAATTCTTCATATATTTGCGAATAATCAGTGGATCCTTTGGTTTCATATAATTATAACATTTAGCAAACTTTGTGAAGAGCGACTACACTATCGTGAACGGAAATTAAAAAATACCGCCTAAATTACGAAAATAAATAATAGGCCTAATAGTAATTTATATTTATATTGCGCAGTGCTTCTTCACCCACTGTCCTTTAAATCAAATTATAAAACAAAACAAAAAACACGATGATTCTAACAATAGTAAATACGTTGCAGATAAGAAGCACACATAAAACATTAGGTTAAACAAACTAAAGCATTTTTGTTTCACAACCATGAAGGTGATTGTATTGTGCTGAAAATACTCAGGGGTGGATGCAGGATTTAGCGTTATGGGTGAGAGTCCACACCACCTCAGCCCCACCATGTTCAGAGAGATTAGAAAATTTGGAGAATATGGACCCCAAGACGCCCGGAAATTGCACTCGCATACTTTAAAAATCTTACCGGTACTATGTTCATAATGATAAACGTAATAGGATATATCAACAATACAATACAATTATTTTTCTTAATACAATTTAGGGTGGTGCGATCGCAACGTTTGCATCCACCCCAGATACTTAATTTATCATAACGTCATCGGCGAGATTGAGTGAACATCGGAGTTGTGGTTCCACCTCTTAAATAAGTCAAAATAGAACTGCTAACCAAGTATCCATGTCATCTTCTGTATATTGTTTAATAACGACTTAAAATTCAATTGAATTTAGGTTTGATTGTAATGATAGTTTTTAAATTAGGAAAACAGGAATCGCTTTACATGCAGATAATATTAAACACTATGAAGACACGGGTCTTCAATACATAAAAAGGTGTATGTCGTTCATAAGTAGAAATCGTGCATTTTGGGTTTGTAAAAAAGTAGGCATAATGTGTTTACACCCTTCTAAAAATTTTAAATCGAAGTGTACATTTGTTCACAATAAATTGAACCTCTGATAACCGTTCGTACCCGTAAAATCGATTGAGTGGAGTAGACCTACGACTCAAAATGGTTTTGGTTCTGGAAGTGCGCATCGCACAGGGAACAGAACAAAAGTGAACAATTTCATTTGCTTTGAAAATTAGAGAGCCTATTGTTTTTGGAATATGTATGAATATATGCTTATGCTCATTAGCATAATTAATACTGTATTTAAATAATTAGGATATTTACGCAAGCTACCAAAATATAATGGTTAACTTTCAAAATGCTTGATGGCAATAATGCTACGGAGCCTATTGTTTTTTATACGTGTGTGAATTTATGCTAATTGTTAATTTATATTATTTCACAAATCAGGAAATGTATCCTAAATACTAACATAATTCCCATAAAAGATTTCAAATTTAGTTGAAATTGTAAAGATGGTAACAAAGTTGTTGTTTTTGGTACGTATGAATATATGCTAATTGATCATAGCCTGATGTCTTAACCACTAGACCACCGAGCTTGCGCTTGGTGACTAGTGATGAATTCGATCACCTAGTAGCAGTGGGTACTGCAAGTGTTATTCGGATATGAGTTTGCGTCAGGAAGTTATCTAGTGGTTAAGACATCAGGCTAGATACCTGGAGGTCGTGGGTTCGATTCCCACCCGAATCACTTGCAATTTTTTTTTTCGCTAGTATTTGGGGACGTACTGAGTATTCAGTACGATTACACGTCAGTTGGGCAAAACATCTCTCCCATTATTATTATTGTTATTATTATTATTATTTGTTATTTTCATTTATGTTGTTATTTTCATTTTTGTTCTTATTATCATTATCACATTACTATTATTATTATTATTATTATTATGAAACAATACACAAACAGTAAAAAAAAAAGTTGTTACACTCTTTAAAATTAAATTCATTTAATTATATTTTATTCTACACAGTATTCAAACTAATTTAAACATGTTCGTTCATATACAGTATTTATCAACACAATTATTGTTTACATGATTCTAAAACTGGATTCATTTTAAATATGCAAGTCTTATAAAGTATTCATTGTTTCAAACAAATCACTAGAAAATAAATAACATTAATAAAATATCCATTAGAGAAATTTTTAAAAACAAACAAACTATATTAACAAAACCTTGTACAATTTAATAGTTTTATGTTACTACCATATGTGGTTATATATGAATTAGATTTATCATGTATAATTTATTTCATCATTAAAAAAAAATACAGAGGCATAAAATAAAAGTAACATAACCCTAACATAATCTTGCACAAAATAATAATTACACACAAACAGGTTTTCTGAAGCCTGAAAGAATTTCTCAAAAGTAAATAAACATTTACTGCAAGACTTTTAAAGTTTTCATTCAGCTGGTAAAATAAAATGTACGTTGTTTTGTAAGACAGATTAAATCTGACATCGAGAAAATTACAGGGCTTGTGCATAGAATACAACCTCTTCATTAGGCCTGTTTTCCATAAAATCGCTACATGCTATACTTGAGAGCTTTCAGTGAAGCTGATTGGTTGGCAGAAACAGCTACACTGTGTAACAACTTTGTAACAATTTTATGCAATCCAGGTTTTAGTGCAGTAAAAAACACTTACTGTTATTAAAAAGAAGCAAAAAGGAAGACAAAAGAAAAAATAAGGTCATGTTTAGTAGATTAAGATATTACTCGAGGTAGCAACAACAAGTGCACCCGCCCCACAGACAAATGAGCAATTAAATAATGTGACTCCAAAACATGAGGAAAACAAAAATTCTTTCTTTTCAGAGATAGTATCTCCTATAAATACAAATACTGTAGTGCACTTTTCCATATTGAACAAACACTGCTACAATAACATAGGGGGAAGGGAAATGGATGGGCCTACAGTAATCTGCCTATATGGTCAATCAAGTATTGACCTATAGTGGCGTATCTAGGAGCCTTGAAAGTGAAGTGGGGGCTTGACTGGAGGGGGGGGGGAAGGGTTGTGCAAACCCTCTAGATATGCCACCGTTTCCCTAATTCACACACACACCTTAAACAAATCAGCAAAGTGAAAACCTATGCAGGGTCTAGAAGCAGAATGAGGCTGAGAGGTCAAAGAACTACTCAGTACTCAGCGAAGTTTCACCATGTCCCAAAAGTTAAATGCTATATTTCATTCAATAAAGAAGTAATTAGGAAAAAGGCAACAATGTATAATACAATGCTAATAAACATGGAAGACTATTAGTATGAATCTCAAAACAAGTACCAAGTACTGAAATATTAAGGATTACAATACTGAATTGTTAAAAATGGTGTATTAATGTTTAAATACATACCATCTGTGATAAACAGTGGGAAAACCTAAAAAAGTTAATCAAAATATTGAATATTTATTTAAAAATCATTAATAAGTTATCAATGATTTTTATCCTGTTTACTACAAAATTCCTAAAAAAATATAGGAATATAATAAGTATTTACATGTCCGTTAACAGGTGAGGATATTTTTAAAGTTAGTTTACAAAGTAACAAATCTAAATATTGCATTTTTTTAAAAAGGTACTAATTAAATGGTTAGATAATGTTGCAGGACCTTGAATAAATGAGATGCATTTAGTATTAATTTATATTTCTGATAAGCTTTGAAATTGCCTGCAATATCTTTGATATGTGATTTTATATCTCATGTGTACTTAACATTTTCATGTTATAGCATTCTAATATGTATGACTACATCATTTTTCTGCCTACAAAACATTTCTATATGCGATAACATCTAGTATGTCCATGTCTTTCTTTATGTCTGTCATTTATATACCAAGGCATATTTAGCATCTTCATATATGCCATACCCTTTCCATGTATGCCATATACCATATCTCACACCATACTCTGTTGTAGCCATGGTCAATCAACTTCTTCAAGTTCCCCATTCTCTTCTTCCGGTGGGACTGCCTGAATATTGGCTAAGAGATCCCTCACGGCATTCATCAAGGCACCGACACCTTCCCGAAGGTTTGCATGCTCAGGCATATAGCCTCCTTCGGCACCCATTCCCCCTTCACGATTATTGTTGATACCACCACCAGCCTAAAAATAACAACATATAAATTAATCATTGTCAATCTGGTCATTTTTTTTTAATCAATAATTGAATGTTATGTCAATACTACAGCATATACATTTTATCAATTTCAATATTTGGTTGTATCTCCTAGCGAAGTTAAAAATATATTTTTTAATTTCTCATTAACAAGAAACTCATAACCAGCTCAGATTTCGATCTTTCCAATTATCATCAATTAATAAGTAATAGATTGATTTAAAAAAAATGTTTTTAATGATTTATAGACAATAATTAATATGAAAATCCTTAAATTTATTGTCAGAGTATATAAATGGTACTTTTTAAACATCTGTTATTTAATGAGATTTTTAGTTCCAATGAGGAGCCCTAGAAACATGCGGCTGATTGATTAATAGATCTTTTTAGCCCTACTGCTTCTATTATACTGCCCTCAAGGAGCTGAATGATTAATAGTTGATTAATAGATCTTTTTTTAGCTCTACTGTCTCTATTATGCTGCTCTCATCGGAGCTTTTGAGATTACGAGAACTTGTTTTTTTTTATTTAGTTCTAACTACTGTTTAATTGAACACTATGATCATACTAAAACATACAAATTAGGCAATTCGATATACTTTTTGAATTTTTAAGGTTATAACTTTATTAGGTGATGGATGTTAAACTAAATCCACATCAAGAACAAAACAAAATATGTAGCACAACTTAAACTAAATAGGAACAAACAAAAACAAAGCAAGATGTACAGATTTTAACAATTTATATTGTACAGTTCAAAGGAAATATAAAAACAGAAGAAAAACCAACTTACATCAGGAGTGTAGCTTGGTAGAAGTGACTCAAAGAATGAGGCTAGTGCACCAGACTGATTCTGCTGCTGTCTTCTAGGCTGCCGTGGGGGTCTCGTGTAGCTCACTATTGAATCTTTGGGAGGGAGCGGGTCATAAGACATTATTGGTGTGTTTGAGAGCGCTGTAGGAAGTCCCACGAGGGCCTCCTTTATCTCAGACAGTATCAAGTGTCGGTTGATGTTTTTAGGCGCTTTCTGATAACGAGACAACCTCCTGTACAAAAAACAATACATTGGTATCAGGCACATATTTTTCAATTAGATACTTTGTATCATAAAGTCTGTTTTCTTAAAATCGCTACACTCTTGCTAGTGTTTTCAGTGCAATTGTGAAGGCTATCCGATTTGACCGACCAATGAGCATCACCCAAAGCTGTTGGCTATAGCATTTAGTGATTGTATGCAAATCAAGCTTAATTATATCTTTATTCAAATGTACTACTGTAAGTTAATACTTGCAATGTGTTCTTATATTTTCCATGTCATAAGCAATATAAATATTAAGAATAATATGATAATTATTTTATAATATCAAATTTGTATTTACTTTTTCTTGTAGTTTTGCACCAACGGGTCGTTGTTGTCTACACGCTTGACGACTTCTTGAACGTTTCGCTCAAGCCATTCCATCACCTCAGGTTGCTTCCATGATGAGAAATTCCTTGCAATGAAGAGCGCCACCAGTTGATTCAAAGCAACAGGTTGACTGTAGAAAAATATGCAAGAGTTTAAAAATTTTGCTGTAAATGCAAACTGCTTATTCTACCTGAAATCTTAAAAAGACTTAGGGGAAGTGATGGGGGGGGGGGGCTGCAATGGTGGACTCAATGATTAAGCGAAGGGGCACCAGGTCG